TTTATACTTTTTTTATACTTGACGAGTACGTCACCGTAAATCACTCCGCCCACTCATCTTATTGGCTACTTGCAAATTTGTCGAATTTTTATTGATGGGACGCGTCGTCTAATTTTTTACGAAGAACATCGAGAGAATATCGTTTCCCCTCTCACGGATACCCCGTAGCCACAGAACGGACATACGTACTGTAACGTTTTTAGTTCGTTACATGTCTTTTTTATATATAATATATGATGTCTGGCCTATCATCACCGGATTCCCTCTCGTTCAGGCCGGATAGTTTATTTGACGCGTAATTTTTACGTTCCCTAGTCGCCAACCCTGTTATCGTTCGACACAACCCTGTTATTGCTCTGAGAAGGCGCTGTCAACATCGCTTCTGTCAACTGTCTCCGTGCTTAACCTCACTTTGTTTTGACGCTCTGTTGTATCCCAGCTTTTGGAAATGGTGATTATTTAAGTCTTGCTGTATAATTTGAATCAGCTACTATTTCGAGGCTACAGGTAAAGATGAGTTATTACCTTTTATAGATTCGATATTATTATTGAATGTTTTTAGGGTAGAGTTACGGATGTCCCAACTTGTATTTGTGTTTTGCTGGCACGTTGGCGTCCCTTTTCTTTTGTCCTCCAGAATGTCACATGGAAGAAAGGACATGTTGTTTATTATTTATTGCGCCCTCGGAAGTATTTCGAGGTAGGTTTATTTTGTTTATTAGACCTTGTTTGGTTTTAAACAATAGTTTCATATTTTTAGGGTCCAAGGTACGGACTATTTCCAAGGTACGGACTGTGTCCAAGGTACGGACTGTATCCAAGGTACGGACTGTGTCCAAGGTACGAACTGTGTCCAAGGTACGGGTAGTGCCTTATGTACAGACATTCTCTTATGTACAGATGTCCTGTGGACGAGTATCCCCAGTAAGAACGATTTTTTCTTACATCTAAGTGCCACAGCGTGGATGTAGCTTGAGTCCCATGCTGCTTCACTCCCATTTCTAAGCCTAGTCAGTAGCTACGGCTGTAAGGATTCATGGTGTCCTCAATCTGGCCCCTTTTGTTGTTTTGGCCAACCGGATGGCCGACAGACAGTACAGAGATGCTAGACCAACTCACGCTGCTACTGTTTGAAGCAAGGTTACATAAAAGAACAGCTAAGTGTATATTTAAGTTCTAGTTTTACATTTAACATCTAAAATATTTTCAGTCTTAAACAGTAACGTACATTTTAAATAATATCGTACAGACTATATTTAGTGGTTAGATTATTAAGAACATTTATGTCGATGCAATAGTTAGAATGTGATTTAGATTTTAGGTTTCATTATATTACGCCTTGTAATAGTATTACTTTCTATAGATATTATTATTGCGCTATATTAACAGATGAATAATGAGACATAGATTCTAGAATCTACAGGTTGCAACACATCAGATTTAACACCGCATAAAATTTAACAATTTAAATAAAGTAATGCTACTTTTCTTATATTTTCTATAACGTTACACGCATTGTATTTTTTCATAGTCTTTTCGTAGAACATATTTAATATTATTTACATACATAGTTTTACTCAACAAATAACCACTATAATAATTATTAAAATTGTACAATGCTATTTACCATCAGAATTCATCGTGAATAAATATAGTCATTAGTTTTAAGTATTATACAACTGTGTTTTCTTTCTCTGTACATGCCTGGCGCCCAATACCTATTTCTTTGGTTTATTGTTATTAATTAGTTTTCTTTCCAGTGAAATACCTTATCCACGACTGCTCTCCGATGAAAAGCTGCCGTTCGCAGTGGTAGTTATTTAAAAAACGCTACAGTACTGTAAAAATTATTGCATATTTAACTCTTACTAAACAAATTTTTTATATGTTGTGTTTTTTAAATAAGAATAATTTAATTTATTAAAGGTGATTGAGTATAAAAATAAACTGCATTTCTTTTTCTTCAGGACAAGCGTTTCAACTTTCAAAAATAAACTGCTTCAATTAACTCAGAGATTTAAAAGTTACAAACTTTTAAGCGAGTTCCGCTTCTTTTTAATTTCTTTTGGACACTTTCTAAATAATTAGGATTTTATCTCCGGCTTGTTTAAAATCCAATTCTCTAATACTGTATAAGTATTTAAGTAATCTGCGTAGTTTTTTGGTATATGGCTCTGTCCGAAATAAAATCAAAATTTCAAACTTCTAGAGATATAAAATAATAAGAATAATTGTATTTTAAAGCAATACGACAACCACACCAAGCTCATTTATTTTTATTTGTAGCTCTTCAGACTGTACGTGATGAATATAATGCTATCAACGATTTTATTTAGTTTAGATATTTACCTAAACCATCTTTAGAGTTCAAAAATTTGCAAATTCAAAAATGAAAGCTGTTTTCTTTTATTATGTGCTAATCATAAACTGTTAAAATAGTAAAATATTGATATAAATTGGTTTATACTGATAAAGTAGATACTTTTGAACCATAATTAGTTGTCTGTAATATTTTTTTTGAATTATATTAAAAGCGAGATTAAAAGTTAAGACATTAAGTTTCTACGGCAATTTTTAGTTGTTGAGGATCATGGAAATTGGACTGTAGATGTTGGATTCAGTGATACATCAAAAATAGTGTTATTACCTGGAGGAAGGAAAGATTTCCACAAAGCAGTAATTAGACTTGGAGCTGTTCTTATAAAGGATAAAGCAGTAGCTAACTCAGATTTTGATGACATGAGGTTTATACTATTTTTTATACTAAAATGATTTTTTGCTTAAATTTTGAGAACCGCACTGGATCTTAAATAAATAGTATTATATACAGGGTTGTTCACCACATACGACACGGAGTATTGTAGCTAAACGATGAGATTTTTACAAATTGTTTAGGGTTCGTTGAAGGACTATTAGAGCTACAATTTAAAAATATTTTTACAAGATACAGAGTGTCCCAAATAAATAAAAAATATCACCCTGTATATTATTACATTTTTAGTTTCTACGATTAAAATAAAGGTAAATTTGATTAAGGTTTATTATACTTAAACCTTACCGTTTTTGAAATATTTTCAATTTTGTGAAATTGCAGTAAAAATTTTAAAGCTTCATTTCTCCAAGGGTATCAATGTTTTTAATACTAAATATTTAATGAAGTTTATTTATTGATCAGTTATTGTGTTGCAATAATAAAAATAATAGTACCTTATACACAGTGTCTAAAAATTTATTTTAAATAATTATTAGCTTCAAACGGCAATAACTTCTTTAATTTAAATGGAATGCCCTATATATTTTAGGAGAATCAGATGCACAATTAAATTGTCTATCAAATTGTATTATACCATTTTTTACCTATCCCTTCAAGTTTTCGTAGAAAATGCATTTTCTTCTAAATTAGACCTCATTTATCAATATATCTATGGAATATTGACATTTTAGATTGTTTTTAAAGCAACAAATGTACAAAATGTACAGACTAGTAATATTATCGTTTTTAGCAAAACGATAATATTACTAGCCCATTTGTATGCAAAAAGAAAACTATTTAAATCTTTATAAAAGGGTATACCATTAATTAAATATAACACCATTATTTCCGCCCATATACTAATTAATGACATACTTAATTGTGTTCGCTAATAAATTATTATAAATAAATGTGGATTTTTGAGTCAGAAATCAATATAATAATAAGTTATCAAATTAAAGCCTTTGTTGTTATAAATAAGCATTTATTAAAAAATGAAATATCATTTTTAAGATGTTACTTTTTATCACACTGTCTAATGCCCATGCAAAATTCAGTTTTTTAGTATTTGGAGCAATTATTATTAATCAACGCAAACAGTCAGTTAATGTAGTTTGAATACTGGAATCATATTAATTGGTCCTCTTTAACAAATATTTAAACAGTTTTTTTTTATTTTTTAATGAAATAAACGAATTATATCGACAATATTAGTATCTGTACTCTTTTAAAATTTGGTACATCTTTAAAAATAATCTAAAATGTCAATAGTCCATGGGTATATTCATAAATAAGTTCTAAATTACAAGAAAATGCATTTTCTACGGAAACTTAAAGAGATAGGTAAAAAATGGTATAATATAATTTGATAGACAATTAAATTGTGCATCTGATTCTCGTAAAATATACAGGGTGTTCCATTTAAATTAAACAAGTAATGTTTTGTAATCAGAAATATGCAAGTTATTGCCGTTTATACAAGTTATATTATATATACAAGTTATTGCCGTTTGAAGCTAATAATTATTTAAAATAAATTTTTAGAGACTCTGTATAAGGTAGTATTATTTTTATTATTGCAACACAATAACTGATCAGTAAATAAACTTCAGTAAATATTTAGTATTAAAAAGTTTGATACCCTTGGAGAAATGAAGCCTTAAAATTTTTACTGCAATTTCACAAATTTGAAAATATTTCAAAAACGGTAAGGTTTAAGTATAATAAACCTTAATCAAATTTACCTTTATTTTAATCGTAGAAACTAAAAATGTAATAATATACAGAGTGTTCCATTTAAAAAAATACAACTTTGATATTTTTTACTTATTTGGGACACTCTGTATCTTGTAAAATTATTTTTAAATTGTACCTCTAATAGTCCTTCATCGAACCCAAAACTTACAATTTGTAAAAATCTCATCGTTTAGCTACAATACTCCGTGTCGTATGTGGTGAACAACCCTGTATAGTAAGTAGAATTAGTTAGTAGTTATATAGTAAGTAGTTAGTAGTTATATTAAATAGTATATTATCAAGAAATTATGTTTCTTAACTAAAAACTAAAAAAAAATCCAAAATTTTTTTTCAGAAAATTCCAAATTTTCAGAAATTTTTGTTCGCAGAAAAAAACTCAAAATCGTGTTTCTAGGATCAAAATATACTACCCCTAAAAATATTTGCACTTATTTAAGACTCGCCCTGTATATGTTTTAGATCTACCGATGAATTTAACTTTTTGCAAGAAATGCCCAGTCTGTACAGTCTTACCCAGTACCTTAACAGCACTCTCAAACTTGACATATACGACAGTCATGGATATGGCAATTTTGTAGAATATGTTGAGGGTAAACAGTTAAAAGTTTTGGTTAAAGGAATTTTGGATAACGATATTGATATTGGAGGTATATCAAATATTAATACCCAGTGCAGTGTTCTGAAGGAGGTCAATGTATTTCCGTAATTTTTTACGTAAGAAATGTCTCTAGAAAAAATTGAAATAAAAATGAAACTTCTACACCCTGTATCTCCGAAACGAAGTATTTTAGGATATACAATTATACGAACTTTTTTATTTATTTTTATCTGTAGAATATACTGCCGAAGTTAGTATACAATTTAGACCACCCTGTATATACAGGGTTACAGTTCGTGTTAGCATCATCAGCAGATGATTATAAACTAAAATACAATCTACAATTGGAGCGTTTATATACTCGCTCAGTGGGCACAGAGTGGGCGTGGCAAGATCTAGCCAACCGAGTCAGAACCCACCGAGCGTAACAGTTAGATTTCCGCCACTAGAGTAGTAGGAACAAAGAACTTGAAGGAATTGAACCGTTGTCTCTGTTCATACTATCTTTACATTTGTTAATTCTGATGCTTTCATATACATCTAATGGCCTGTAATTTGAGACTTGTTTAAGTAATTTTAAGTTATTAAGATCTATACAATGTTCTTTATCAATAATATGTTCGGCAACGCAAGATTTATCAGGTCTACCATATCTTATCTTAGCTAAATGTTCTTTAAATCTAGTTAATATTGATCTTCTAGTTTGCCCAACATATTTCTGATTACAATCTTTACAAGAAATTTCATAAATACCCGACCTTTCCAGTAAAAAAAGGATAAAACACCTCTACTGGAAAGGTCGGGTATTCAATTTGATGAATTCAATGACGCTCGGTGGGTTCTGACTCGGTTGGCTAGATCTTGCCACGCCCACTCTGTGCCCACTGAGCGAGTATAATATAAACGCTCCAATTGTAGATTGTATTTTATTTTATAATCATCTGCTGATGATGCTAACATGGTTAACGAAACGCGCGTCCAGTGTAAAAGTAAAAGTGTTTTGGTGTATTGTGGTGATTTAGTGTTTTATTTTGATATACAGGGTTACTAAAAATTACTAAAGTCTGCACCCCGAAAATTGAAAATAAAAATGGTAATATTTTAAGAATTTCCCTGAATAGATTATGAAAGATTATTAAGAATTTGGAAATGCAATATTATAAGAAATCCAATGACCGCATATTCTTAACTTAGCTCTAACTTAGTATAAAAATACACTTAAATTCCCCTATATATTTCTAAAATTTCGAAATTACTGTTAAATAATTATGCGCTGAGAATATAAAATAGAAAAGACGATATGTGAATCTCTTTCAGAACACTGAATCACTGTGTATATTAAATATTAATGATTTGCAGGAGCTCTATTTATAAATCATGAAAGGCTAAGGGCTGTTCGATATTCGGGAGTTCTTAATTTGTTAGGCATCAAGTTTTTTCTCAAAAAACCTCCTTTGAGTTACGTGAAGAATATTTATGTTTTGACATTAACCAAGCAGGTTTGGTTTGCTACTTTTCTAATAACGTTTCTGTTTTTGGTCGCGCTCTATATTGCTCTACGTTGGGAAAGGACTAGCTGGACTAATTACGAGGTAAAAATATTGCGTCTAACATGCGAGATATTCCGATACATTTGTTTGTATATTAAAATTTGTAGGAAAATATAATGCCAGAAAATCAGCGTTCTGTCAGCGTAAGTGATATGGTGTTATTATCATTAGAAGCTCTGTGTCAGCAAGGTATGTATGACAATTCTTAATAATTGACATTAAATTTACTCAAAATATATACTTTACAATGTTTCGAAAACTATTTTTTACCTTCTACTATTCAATTGATTTATATTACCTATACGTATAGAGCGATCAACAAAGATTGGCTAAAAGCTAAATACTAAATAGTTGGGTATTCTGATTTTGCTCGATTAGCTGGTTTTAAAACAAATTTAAGAAATTTAATTATCCACCAATTATTATCACATTATTAATAGCGTCAAAACAAAACAGAAATCAATCGATATGATCATTGATTTGTACAAGCTTCTTCCTACATGCGCTCAAGTTTCTTGTACAAGTACGCTTGCACACAAGTACTTTTGTCAAGTCAGCATGAACGTCTGTTAGAATAATGAAAAACGTTGTACCACATAATTAAAAATTAAGTCACTGGATATCTAAAAGCATTCTTCAGTAACTCAAAGTAAGCAGTAAATTTGTAAAATTCAAAATCAGAGAAAGCAATCTTTTAGAAGGGCTCTTTTCCGCAATAAAATGTAGGAAATAATGTTTCTTGTTACAGGTACCTATATCGAGCCAGTTACACTTTCTGCCAGGATATTAATGCTGTGGTTTTTCCTGTTTTTCATGTTTATTTTCGTGGCGTACTCGGCGAGCATTCTCATTTTGTTAAGATCGGCTGCAGAAATACGATCAATCTCTGATCTACTCAATAACAAATTCGAGGTCGGGGCTTTAAACGTGCATTTCATGAAGCATTACCTTTCAGTAAGATAAAAAGTGCGGGAAAATGTCCCAAAACAAATGACCGAAGCAAAATTGATACCCGAAAACAAGCAATAACTGTTTAGATGTGACCACGTAATACACAATAAAACTAGTTATATAATAGTCATATAACGCTGTGTAAAATAGTTGCATAAGAGTTGTATACCCTTTTTGTAGAACTTCTATACTACTAAACGGTTGTATAAAAATGGGCCTTTTTTGGTTGTAAAACTATCATATTACGGTCATATAGCACGTTATATGAATTGAGGTATCCTATAAAAATTATCACATAGCTGTTTATACAGCCTTTATGAAATAAAATTTGCTACTTGGGTAGTGAATATGCATAATATGATCCGATAATATTTTTGGGTTAAATTCAATACCGGCAAGGTTATTTCATAGTTTTTTCCATTAATATTGATTTTGTTTGAGTTAAAATAAAAAAAGTAAAAAGTAATATTGGTCTGGCAAAAATGGAAGACCAATTGCCATAGGCTTGCCAAATTGCCAAAGACCGACCATTGCTATAGGTCGGTCTTTAAGGGTAATTTTCATTCCTGTCAATTGTTTATGGGCAATTTCCTAGATCCAAAAAGTGCAGAGATTTCTCTCTATAACATTTTAATAGTGGTCTTTAATTGACGAACTATTTAAATTCGATCACACAAATATTTAGCTTCTTTTGTAGAAACCAAAGCATGGACCACTAAGAGAACTTTATATAAAGAAAATTTACCCAAATAACTACTTCAGCATAGAGGATGGATTTCGAAAGATCCAGAAAGAACATTTTGCGTATTTTACACCTATTGCTCATGCTTCACTGGCCAACATGAGAAATTACACCAACTATGATATATGCGCCTTTCAGGAACTCGCTGGTTATATAGATGTAGGTTGTTGTTTTGTTTTACCTTATTCTCGATATTAACCGGGTAATATTGAGATTAACTATATTTTGGACCTTAACCGTAATATACCGGGTGTATCTCAAAAGTGGCTCGCCCGACGGCTCACCCCTATAACTTTTTTTATTTTTTTCTGATAAAAAACGAGATTTGGTATGTTAGTATATGACATAAATTAGGATTAACTGACGTATTCAATTATTGTTATTAGTCACTTCTTGTTGCACCGGAAATTATTACAACTTTTGATTTTTAAATGGCAGCCTCGGTATATTTCTACTTTATTCGATAGGAAATGACACTCTCAATAGAGTGACATATCATATGTCAACTTTTGATATTTTCTTATTATATTTTTTAACATTTTTTTTTTATTTTGAGATTTAAATAACTCGGTTATTTTGGACTTATTTGAAAAACGATAAAGAGAAAATATGTTTCTGTTATTTAGATCTACCAGACCTAAAAATATTTACACTTATTTAAGACTTACCCTGTATAATTTTGTAGGCAATATCTTATGTTCCTGTACCGAAGAACTCCGGATATACAGATGTTATACGAGTTGGGTATGTATTGCGTTATTAAGTAGAATTTTTTAGAATTTAGAATGAGTGGGAGGGGGGTTAATCACTTCGACCTTACTGATCCATTGTGTCCCCCTTTCTTGAATCATAACTCATCATACAGTCCCAGGGCTTTGACAAAAGCCAGTATCTGGGACGGTTTTATAGAGGGTAGTTCTCCATCTCCAATATCAGTCGTACCAAAATTCATGGCACGAATGGTTGTCGTCTCGGCGCACTCAGTGATGAGGTGTACTGGTGTTTCACCATCTTCCCCACAGAATCTGCATTCGCCGTTTCTTCTTAGTTTCAATCTACTGAGGTGTTCATTGAGGAGACAGTGTCCTGTTAAAAACCCCGTGACAATCCGAAGATTGTTCTTACTCAGACCCAGGAAGATCTGTGATTTTTCTTGATCATAAGCCCTCAGAAACTTCTTCGAGTGTCTTAGACCATTGCAAGATTTCCATTCCAGGTTGCGGATGGAATCTTCCAAGTTCTTGAGTTCCGCCTTGAGTTGGTTACCACTTGGAAAGCAGAACGGTTCTGGTCCAGTTAGTGGAGTGTTTGCTCCTTTCCTAGCTAGATTATTTGCTTTTTCATTGCCTTCTATCCCTTGGTGAGCAGGCACCCAGTGTAGGAGGACTTTGTTTTCTTTGCCTAATTTATTCAGCTTCTCTATGCATTCTTTGACCAATTTCGAATTGATTGATACTGAGTTGATCGCCTTTAACGCTGCTTGACTATCAGATAAGATGGCTATTTCTTGTTTCCGATAGTTCCTATCTAAGATAAGTTGTACGCATCTCTCGATAGCGTAGATTTCTGCCTGTAGGATACTAGGGTAAGTGCCCATTGGTTCGGAGTAATTAGCTCTCGGCCCAAACACTCCGATCCCTGTTCCCGTATTGGTTTAGGAAGCATCAGTATACCAAGTTATGGTATGGTCTTTTAACTGCTGGGCAAGCGTTTCGCTCTTCCAATCCTTCTTATTGCTCAATACTACATTGACATGTTTGTCAAAGTTGTACGTTCTTGGCATATCGTCCACTGGGAGTTGCAGGAGTGGTATTTCCTTTTTGAGGGTGTTCCAAGCCCCTGATCTGACAATTCTCCCAGTACTAATTCCGTTAATGACCATTCTAATCATTGTCGCATTGGCATATCTACCAATGACAATGTGCAGATGTGTTAGATCTAGAATGACCTCCATTGCTGCTGTTGGACAGGTTCTCATGGCTCCTGTGATGCAAACACATGCTAGTCTCTGGACTTTGCATAGGTTTAGCCTTGCCGTCCGTTGCTCTAGTTTTGTGTACCAGGCAACTGCTCCATAAGTAATCATGGGTCTTACTATCATGGTATACATCCAGCGCAAAATGTTAGGGGAGCAGCCCCATCTATTTCCGGCCAGTCTTCTGCATATCATGAGAGCCTTTATGGCTTTGCTGGTAGTGTTCTTAATATGCCTGTTCCACAGGAGTTTACTGTCCAGGGTTATTCCCAGGTATTTAACTTCCTGTGTTGGCAGTATTTCCTTTCCATCTAGTTGGATTCTTTTCAAGTTTTTCAGACTTCGCCTTCTGGTGAATGGCACTATCGCGGTTTTGTCTGAGTTGATACTCAGCCCGACAGTCCTACACCATCTCTCAGTGATACGGAGTCCTCTTTGGATAATATCACACAAGGTGCCTTCATGTTTCCCCCGAGCGATCATGACTATGTCATCTGCATACCCAATGCAGTGTATTCCCGCTAGAGTTAATTCATCTAGTAGTTCATCCACCACCAAGCTCCACAGCAAAGGGGAGGTTACTCCACCTTGTGGAGTTCCTTGCGTTGTTTTAACAGCTACAGTTTTGGTGCCCATCTGAGCCTCTGCTGTTCGTGTTGACAGCATTTCCCAAAACCAGCGAATAATAGTTCTGTTCACCCCTCTTGTTTCTAGAGATCGCCTGACCACCTTATGTGGTATATTGTCAAACGCCCCCGCAATATCCAAGAAGGCACAAATTGCTGTTTCTTTGCTATCCAGACTTGCCTGTATTAGCTCCGTTAATTGGTACAGAGCAGTTTCTGTGGATCTGCCCGTTCTATTAAGTAAAATGTGGATCTGCCGCGTTATTAAGTAAAATCGAGTAAAAAATAAAATTTCTATAATAAATATATGTTTTACCGCCATATTTAAAAAATTATCGCATGCACAAAAATGCACATTTTTGAAAAACACCCCATAATTCTGAAACAGTAACAGATATTAATGTGCGGTTTTCACGATCATGTTTTCAGACACCGATATTAGTCTATCGTCTAGAAAAGGGCGTTTCCCTTTAAAAGCGTCCAATTTGGCCCACCCTGTACAATATGATCGAAAAAAACGGCGTCAGCAAAAAAAACAGCTATGATTGAAAAAAACGACGATGGCTAGGAAATGAGTATCGCGCAAAATAATATGATAAATAAGCCTACATTTTGTTATTAGCTGAGTGGCTAAATAAATGAAAGCATTTTACCATAATAACATTTTTTTACTAAGAAGGCTAAAAGCATTTTATTTTGTTGAAAATTCTCCCCGACGCGACGTTAAGTTTAAATTCTCTTAATTATTAAACTATTTTAATTTCAGGATGCTGGTGTTACACGAACGTGGAATTGTCCACAGAGCCAAAGTGCGCACAGTTCAAAAGCCAGTTTGCAATAATAAAGTGGGAAATTTCCAGTCGGTCCGGATAGATGATTGTTTATACGTACTTTTAATTTACCTCTACGGAGTTCTCCTGACTCTCGTTGTGCTAATTTTTGAGTTAGCTTTAAAGGCTTATCTTCAATATAAAAGGAGAAACAAATTGATTCGTTTGAATTAAAAGTCGTTAATAGTGCTGTTCTTGAAAAAAACAAGCTTAATCGTCTAGAAACGTGCTAAATTGTTCTAGAAGTTTATTAGTAAACTTTCTAAAATTATAGCATCTACTTTTAGCCTGCTTTTCAACATTTTTTATTAATTGTGTTACATCTGTCTTTTTGCATTGTAGAATTTTAATTTATACTGATGATATTAAACACTTTAAAATTATTAAATCTATTAATTATTGTGAACTATATCCCATACAGCACGTCCAAATGAAATTACGTTTCTACAAGGGAGACACATGAGGAACAAAATATGTTAAAGTGAACCTAAGTGTTCATCTAGTTCTAACATATACATATGAGATACACGCAGGTTTATATTGATAGAATTGTGTGATACAGTGTGTACTAGTTGTATACCGTATACACTCAAGATTCTAAAGAGTTTTTTGTAACGTAACAAATAATAATAATTAAAATGATGAAATCTGACGTCGCGCGTCGGTATAGGTATAAGACATACAATGTATAAATCATATGTATGTGTGATACTTCGTATCATAGTTGTGCCTATAGTACACACCTTGTATAAATGTGACGTATACACATAATATAAATATCTATATAGACACTTTGTAATAGTTTACTGTTGTGTCTACATTCTAGCATGAAATGAAGGTGTGCGCACGCGCGGATAGCCTCAGCGTAGATACACCGACCAAGTGTATCTTATGGGTCCTCTCTCCTTTCTCCTTTCTAGGAGTGGTATGTGTTAGCAGCCATTTTTGTCTATCATTCGGAAGCTCTATATAAATGTTCTATTTGTGTGTAGTTTAAAAGAGATTTTAAGGTAAGCACAAGTTTTTAATTACCTTGTTATACCTTCCTAAGAGTATTATTAATATTATAGCAGCGACTCTTCCCTTACTCGATACCCAATTTAACAAATTTTGACTCCAATGAATGAAAACTCCAAATATTCTCGTATAAATGATAAAGAGGTTAGCTCTGCAATATAATTTTTTTTAGTTTGGAAATAATAAAAATCTAAATGAACCAGAGAAAGAAAGATTTAAATACTTCAAAGAACTTCTTACACTGATATTCGGTAAGTTATTGATGGATCAATATACAGATATGTTTAATATTCAATAATCAGTGTCATATAAAATTTAAGGGTGAGATTGTTAATCTGGAAATAAAATACAACAAAGTCCAACAGAGTGCTCGTTGAATGAGTATGCTAACAAACCAACTGCTTGGAGGGAAAAGAGGAGAAAAAAATGACTAAACGAGGTCCACCAAATCGTGGCGATATACCAGTTTTTACTATTTTAGTATGTTGTTATACTAGGTACTTATATTTTTAATACATTTTATACAAATTCTGTTCCTTTACAGTGTTTTCTTACTTCTGGTTTCTGTAGTGTAAATAATTATTATTATTGTGTTATTTGCGATACTGCGTTTCATGATAAAAAGAAGTAGAGGAATTTTATTTTTTAACCACTTAATCCATTTTATGGAAGAAAAGTGGTACATTTAATACAAAACAAAAATGGAACAATTTTAAGGCTACTTCTTTTGAACTTACGATGGAGATACTTTTGGAAAATACAATGTTTTGCCTTTTTAATTTTCGTTCTAAAAAGATATAATTGGTATCATTGAATAAATATTTCTTAAAAAGAACGAAAAGTTAGGCATCAAAACTTGTATTATTTCCTAAATTCGTTCATAAGAAGTAGTTTTATCTAGCACAAGATGTATATACGAAGCAAAATACATACGTATACACGCGGTAGTCACAACTGCAATGTGTAAACATACTTTAAACGTAATACACAAGCACTGTGTATCCTACGGCACACTGTGTATCCCTTACTTTGTGTATACGTAAATGCTATACTGTGGCTACATTGTGAAGCGGACGTTTAACCTTTATGCATACGTGTTGAACTACAATGTGTAAAGGTAGCATATTTACATCGGGGGAATTGTGTCACCCTGCGTCTACATCTAATAATGTAAACACATCGTAAATGTGATTTGATGTGCTGTATGGGGACACACCTTGTACATTTCAAAATAATTTTAAATCATATACATTGACCACATATCTTACACATGTCTGTGTAAAGGTGCGTATTCATTATCCGCACGAACGAACGAACGAACGAACGAATGTTCGCTAGTGGTATGGACGGGGACCGCACGATAGGACCGCACGAGAAGACCGGAGGCATTTGTTGGCGAACGCCTTTGATGTACCGACTCGAAACGGATGGTCGAGCGAACGAACGAACGAACGAATGTTCGCTAGTGGTATGGACGGGGACCGCACGATAGGACCGCACGAGAAGACCGGAGGCATTTGTTGGCGAACGCCTTTGATGTACCGACTCGAAACGGATGGTCGAGCGAACGAACGAACGAACGAATGTTCGCTAGTGGTATGGACGGGGACCGCACGAGAAGACCGGAGGCATTTGTTGGCGAACGCCTTTGATGTACCGACTCGAAACGGATGGTCGAGCGAACGAACGAACGAACGGCCGCATGCGTTCGGTCCCCGTCCAAATATACCGCACTTTCATTCGTTCGTTCGGATAATGAATACGCACCTTAACAGAGACGCCATGACACACGGAAATCAAACAAATAATTTTTCGGAAGCGTCAGACTAATATTTTTATAAAATAGGCGTTTTCCTAACATTTCACGCTGGTCATAAAAAGAGGATCAAATATTAAATAGGATAATTCTGTGGTCATTCCTAAAAATCAAAGATTTTAATAATGGCGTTTATAACATGTTAGTGTAATCTGCATTGTCCTTAAAACATTTGCATGATGCTGGAAAGAATATGGCAGAACGTGCCACGTTTTAAGGATGATTCACGGTACACCGGACCGTACCCGAGCCGAGCACGTTCCGTAAAGTAGACACCGAGCCACGTCCGGGCCTTCAATATAACACCGAGTGGACAACGGGGATCATGTCCGTGCCGATTATATTCTAGAAAACAGTGTTGCCGCAGTGGTACATTTGTACCAAATTTGATACTTTTAATTCTATTTGGTACAGTGGTACTACATTTTCAAATCCAGGATGATTCGGTACAATAATTATTTCCCACGCGCACCGAAAATGAATAGATATTTAATAATTATCGTCGTTGATATTGCATTAAACGCGCTTACCGATACCATTCGGAGACAATCCGCATTAATTAACGACGTATTATAAACGTTGTAATGTCTATAGGGTTGCCTATATTAAATAACCCGAAGAAAAAACTTAAAAATTTGCTGTTTCTAACATGCGTCTATATTTGCGTTTTTTTTTTTAATAAAATTTAAGTTTTCCAAGTATCGTAAGTAGTATTAGAATTACTTACATTTCTTCAACCTATACATACTTATAATTGGGTTTTCTGAATTTCTATTTCATGTTTTTCGTCTCGATTTGCGACAGCGATTATTAACCATAAACTGTGCTCTGGGTTCTACAGTTAATTTTCACTCGATTTTTCCTCCACTTGACTTCAAAAGACACAAAACACACGTAATAACATGAATCAAAATGCATCATCTTCCAAAACGCAGGGTATTTGACAAAAGTTGTCACAAAATTATAACCTATAATTTGGCAAGTCTTTGACAAACGTCAACAATCTAAAGGCGAGTTCATACGCATTGGCGTCATCGTTCCGTCAAACCAATAAAATTAAAATACGATCTGTCATTTTTGAAATAAACCAATAAAACTGGTTAAAAACAACAAGTGACGACGCATGACGAATTTATATTTAAACCCATCCATAGTTAACTTAAAAATTATTAGAAACTTTTTTTAGTAAAATAAATAGATTGGTATGGGACGTCATCTGCTTTTCTTCTGTCATCGTCTGTCGAAGTCTTACCTGAGAAAAAAAACAGAGTTTATAGTAATGATACGACAGACCAAGAAGCTATTTCATATTACAACACACCTGTACTGTAATTCTATTACTTTTAAATGAAAAAAAAGTCAAGTCCAACACATTTTTTTCTCTAAATGAAAGTCGTTCTGGTTTTTAACTCAAAATCAATCGAAATCTTTACATTCTCTTATCTCTTCGCAATAGTATTGACAAACAAATAAATGGAATTAATTATCAACCAATATCAATACCATTTAATCGGTTTACGTTGGGTTTACAATAGCAGAGATTACCTGTAACCTCACCACATAAATTTGGTGTAAATTAACAGCTCGCATAGATATGGGGGAGGTAAAATCCCGATCTGTATGCGGAGCTTCGACTCCCGGTTCTCTCCAGTATGCAATCGACGTCCTTTCTGAATGGTCTCAGCTTTCAATCGGTCTCGACGGTACGGAAATTTATGCCTTTCAAGATATATCTAACTAGAAGTTGGCAGCTTGCCCTCCATAAGAGCGTAAACTATAAAATAATTTATAGAGTACTAGATATTTTAATGGAATATAATATTGAAAATATTTATTTTATTTATTTAGCTTGTAAAAATAAGAGTATACACACACCGGAAAAGTCTAGGGATATTACAATTTTATCCAGCCATCGTCAGTAATTTTATTATTTGCATTTCTGATATAATAAAATTAAATTAAACAAATAGTTTACAGGACGTATTGGAAATAAAAATGCGAAATTTACCGAATTTTTCAAATTTACCTTGATTTTTATTGGACTCAAAAAAATACACACATTTTTTTTATATTCTAAACTGTGAATTAAAAAAAAAGATAAAACCATTTATACTTAATAAAGGGTATGGCCTCCTCTTCTGTTCATTACAGCCCTACATCGTCTCTCCATGCTCATGA